CCGCGTACCCCGGGCGTCAGACCCCCCCGGGTGTCACGCCCGGGTGCCCGTCCGGGCAGGACCGTCCGGGCGTGAGAATCTTCCTAGGTGAAAACAAAACAAAAAAGAAAAAAAAGGATCGAGGAGACAAACAGGCGAGGTAGTAGTAGCTGTTTTAAGAACATGAGCAGCACAGACAAGATGCAGAGGTGAAGATCGGTGGAGGGGCCAACTTTTTTCTTTTCTTTGTTGTTGTTTTTGAAAACATGGCCTCATGGTCAAGCCGTGGTTCTACTACGGGGAGCAGCAGTCTGCCTTCTTTTACTTTTCTTTGTTGTTGTTGTTGAAAACATGGCCTCATGGCCAAGCCGTGGTTCTACTCTGGGGGAGCAGCAGTCTGCCAAGCTTGTGAAGAACCCCCTTGACTTCCAAGTTCCCACTGAAAAAAAGAACGCAAAGATAAACACAAGGGAAACAAAAAGAAAAATAATAGCCTACTACTCCAAAAGGAAAAAGTAAAAGGAGGCAGACTGCTGCTGCCCAGAGTAGAACCAGGGCTTGGGCATGAGGCCATGTTTTCAAAGAAAAACAACAAAGAAAAGAAAAAAGTTGAGTCGGTGTTGATCCCTCCACCGATCTTCCACCTCTGCACCTTGTCTGTGCTGCTCATGTTCTCAAAACAGCTACTACCTTCTTCCCCCGAGTACAACGTACGGTCATTATAGCTGTATTTGAGGCATATTTCACTCTAGATACAGCTATAATGACCGTACGTTGTATTCAGGGGAAGAAGGTATCTCGGGGCTGAACTGCGCTTGCTGAGTGCAGCCCCAATCCGCTGAGAAAATTCTGTCAGGGCCCAGGAGGGGTATGCTGGTCCCACTTCTCTTTTCTTTTTTCTTTTTTTTTTTTTATGGTGGGGGGGGGGTTGCTGACTGGCAGCCGACCGGTAGGTGGTGATGCGCGGATTGGTTGGCTGGTTGGTTGCCGACCAATCAAGGGGTGGCAAGTGTTGGCATGACTACTCTGTCATACTTACTATTCGGGCGAATAACGTAGTCATTACTAGTCAATCAACACAGCAAGTAAAAAGAAAACAAACAAAAAAAAAAAAGAACAACACAGCAAGGAATAAATGAACTCCAAGAGTCCAAGGAAGTATTCCCAGTAAATGGAATCACATGATGAATTGCCAGATAAGGGGTTCAGAGCATTGGTTTCACGGAACTTTCACCTCAGAATCTCCAATTAGATAAAAAATGACAAATTGATCGATTGGCAACAACATCCCGACCGACTCTCCCTGTAAAGAGGGGGCGGGGGGGTGTTAAACGAAAACTAACAAGGCTAACGTTAAGTTAGTGCGCAATGCTATCTAGCAAGCTCCTCATACGTATCCCACGGAGCGACGGCCATGGTGGCACCTTCCATTCTCCCTTGCTGCTTCTCTCTCGGCTGAAGGTGGAAGAGAAAGTCACCATCTGCAAGACAGAAGAGGGGTGGGGGAAGAAAACCAAGGAGTGGAGAGCGAGATGGTAGGTGATTCTCCCCTACCTACCTACCTACCTACCTACCTACCTACCTACCTACCTACCTACCTACCTAGTGCCCGCCCTGTCTCCACTCACTCTGCAAAATCCAGAAAAGCTTCGATCAAAGTTTCTGCGATCATTCCCTCACTCTCTCTCATGATTTCTACCCCCGCGCTCAATTGATTCGTCCCAGAAACAGGCACAGAATTTGAAACGCACTCTCCTCCAGGAGTGCGTGAAGGAGTTGAGTGTGTTGCTGGATGATCCTCAGTCCTCCGACCTTCCATGTCAAGAACGTCTTTGCTTATTCCTGCTCTCTTTAAAACCTGCACAACGTTCCGATACAACTTGTTATCGACCGAAACACCCGCTTCCTCCATCTCCCTCCACAGCTGTTGAATTTTTCCAACCCTTCCAGCCTGTGCACAGAGTGCCATGATGGCTCTGTAGGCTGCAACATCTCTCGAACAGCCGTCTCTCGCCATCTTCTCCCACATTTCAATTGCTGACCCCATGAGCCCACATCTTCCGTAGGCCACCATAACTGCTGTGTAATGCCGTACGTCAGGCTGAATGCCTGCCTGACGCATCAGCGTCAGAAGTGCATCAGCCTTAGCACACTGCTTGCCAATCACGTATGCATTCATCAGAGACAGATAAGCTACGTCATCAGCTACATGCCCTTCCTTTTCCATCTCTCTGAAGGCTTCTTCCGCCTTTTCAGTATTGCCGGCTCGCCCATGAATGTTGACAAGGGCAGTGAACACACATTTTGGAGGGCGGTGCCCCGCTGCAACCATTCCGTCAAAGAGTTTGACTGCTCTCTGAGCGATCTCAGGTTCACGTGATCTATTGCAGCAATGAATCAGCGACACCCAGCTTCCAACATCATCCCCTTTCATGCCTCTGCCGACCATCCGCCTATGCATATTGAGAGCTTCTTTGCAAAGACCCTTTTTTGCAAAATGGCATATCAAAGTCGTATACGTCGCTTGGGAAGGCGGTGGCAGCTTTCCATCCTCCATGTGTTTCAGTATTTCCTTTGCTTTCCTCTTGTTTCCACCCTTCAGGTACCATTTGATAAGAGTGTTGAAAACTGGGGGATCAAGATCCACCTTATGTTCTTTCCTGAGACGATTGACCAATGCGGCGCCACTTTCCAGCAAGCCAGCCTTGCCGTACACATCCAAGACTGTGCTGCAGGTCACTGCGTCAGGTTTTACACCCAGAGCTTCCATCTCCTCAAATACACGCATCGCTTCTTGAAGCCTTTCGCCGTCCCCTAGTGCCTTGATGATCAGATTGTATGTGTGAGTGCGTATTTCCCGGCCGTCCAATTTGGAACGCTCCCATGCTCGCACGGCACGATCCGGCCTTCCATCACGTACATGCAGCTCCACCAAAAGTGCAAGGCTTTCCACATCCATCTCATGGATGCGCTGCCTTTTCATCAAGCGAGCAATGAGCTTTGCTCTCTCGTATTCGCCTGCTTCCATCAACACTTTCATCACCCTGTTTAGAATCCCTGTCCACGGAACTGTGCCTGTCTCATTCCTTATTCGCTCCAACAGGCCCTCGCAGTCTTTCCACCTCCCTGCCCCACCATACGCGTTCGCCATCGTCATCCATAGAGACCTATCATGCACATCCGCATCACGGAAGACACTCTCCACCTTATCAAACTGATGCAGCTGAGCGTGCATGTGAATCATGATGTCTGCCATTGCTGGACACACGCGAATCCCGACAGTCTTCATCCCCTCATACAAATCAATCGCATCCTGGTGTCGCCCCATCTTGACATACAACTTCGCCAACGAAATATACAAAGGAATGTCAAGCTCCAACCCGGATGTCCTAATCTCCTCGGCCAAGGTGCTGGCTTCGTCGCAGTGTCCTGCCTGCACAAGCGCATGAAGGAGTCCCCCCAGCATCACACGGTCAGGCCGCACGCCAGCAAATGAACCCTTGGGTCCTCCTCCTGCTAGGCTAAGCAGCCCTCCATCTCCTTTGTCCTCCTTCAACATGCTCACTATTTCGCCAACTCGCCCCCCTTTAGCATAGGCCCTCAGGAGCACAGAGTAAGCATGTGGGTTTTCACAGATCTTACTGCCACCGTCAACATCAGCACAATGCTTCTGAGATTCATCGAAGACACGCCAGACATCCTCGTACCGTCCTGTTCTCTCACATATGCTCATCATAGTAACCCATGTTTTGGGGTTCATCGCTTTTCCTAATTTCCTCATGTTTTCAAAAAGTTCCATAGCTGCATCCACCTGGTTTGTTCTTCCGTACAATTGCAGCATAGTGCAATATGCAGGCTCATCAAGCTCGCATCCAGATCGCCTCATCTCTTCACAGATCATTCCAGCAGCGCCGAACTCGCCAATCTGGCCATAAAGGTTTATCATTGTGCTATACATGGAGGTGCTCGGAGACCTTCCCCAGCTCTTGTAAAGTTGGTATACCTTCTCTCCTTTCCGATGTTGTCCTGTCTTCATGTACAAGTTCATCCCTGTCGTGAACGCCGCAGCATCAGGCTTTATCCCTCTGAGCAGCAGCCTCTCAAACACACGGACACCTTGTGCATACATTTTCCCGCTTCGGCATGCTTCCAGGGCAATGCAATACGTCAACAACGAAGGAACACTAGTCCTTCTGCCCACTGAAGGGGATGGCAGAGCAGTCCCCCCAACCTCTCCATGGCCTCCGACATCATCCCATTTGTCCTTTCTCAAATGCAAATGCAAATCTGTGATATCTTTGACAGTCCCTCCTGCCTTTGCATTTACCACAAGTGCATCCGCCTCCATACGCTCATTAATACTATGATGAAGACAAGTAGTAGTAGCAGTAGCAGTAGCAGTAGCAGTAGCAGCAGTAGTAATTGTTGCTTTCATCGTTGTCACTGCCGTTGCCCCCCTCTTCACTGCGATACCAGCTTCCATCCCCCAGAACACTGTCATGGCATCATTACACCGACCTGCCTTGGAGTACAAGTTCATTAAGGTTGTGTATGTCCGAGTGTCGGGTACGAATTCCTTCGCCCTCATCTCGATGTAAAGTCTCTCTGCGTCAGCCAGCATACCTTGCCGTCCATATCCCAAAATTAACGACCCAAATGTGATCGCATCCGGCAAGAAACCATGTCGTTCCATTTCCTGCTTAAGCCTTTCTGCATCTGCCATCTTCCCATCTCTCGCGTACGCAGCAATCATAATTGTGTATGCAAACAGGTCTGGCCTGTAATACGGCACACTCTTCATCCACTGAAAAAATATGGCAGCCTCTTTGCAGTCGTCAAGCGATTTGAGTACTATACACAACTCTCTCGGACCCAGCATGTTCTGATACTTTCTTAGTGCCCTCTTCAGTTTGACCCTTCCCAACGTTTCTTCCAACAAGAGCAATCTTGCATTCTTGACTACGCGGATGACTGTCTCAACCAACCAGCTATGTTGCCTTTTCTCCTCTTTCCTTCTCCGTTTGCTCCATAGCCTGTCACTACTCGGCAGCACCCCATGATGTGCCTGCTCACTCTTCTTATTCTTCTGTTCCTGTTCCTGCTGCTGCTGCTGCTGCTGCTTCTCCAACCATCCATCATCTCTCTGCACAAAGTCGTTGCTAGAGACCCGATACTGGCTCCTGGATGTGGTTGATCCTGGTCCTTCTGAATTGTCATTACTGCGATCGACAACGGACTCCGTCGCAGAAACTCTCCATGACTGTTTCGTCAACCTCGTCTGTACTTCCTCATTGCTCATCAATCCTATCCAAAGATCGTCATCGCGTTTTGCTCCCTCTTTTCCTTTAATCACTCCTAGTATTCCTATACCTCTTTTTTTTTTGGTTTCCCTTTCGCTTTCCATCTTACTTCTCGTCCTCTGCATATGAACTAGCTTCTTCACATCTGGTAAGCCTCCCGACAGTGTCTGCCTGCTTTTCTGCCAGGACCACGGCTGGGCACGACAAGCAGCTGCTACAGAGTGCAGAAGTTGGACGCAGCCGCAGCTCCCACTGCGGCGATGATGGCCACAGGTCTCTCCATTTCTGCTGTGCAGAGACCTTGCTAATGCAGACGCAGACCTTGCCCCCATGTGTCCAACCGCCTCCATTCTACAACCTCTCAAAATGCTCCCGCAGAGGCCACTCTCTCATTCGCTGCAGAAAAAAATGCTTCCATAGAAATCGGTCTTCGCATTCTTCAAAACAACACCCCCACCGTTACCATCCAAACGCCTCTACCAACCCCATTTTTTTTATTATTTCTTTTAGGCCCCTATCAACCCTCTTTTTTATAGACCCCTATCAACTCTTCATACCCTTTATAATGCTTCCACAGAGGTCAACTTTCACCCCCTTTCAAAACAACACCCCCCCCAACTCAGCTCACTCCTCTCACCCTTCATAACACAGTAATTGTTGTCTGCTTCCAGTTCTGCTACCATCCTGCGGCCCTTACCAACCTTTTTTTTTTGCTTTTTTTTTAAGGCCCCTACCATCACTAGAAACCGCTTGGCAATGAAAAGGGGGGCACCTCCGTGTGTGGATAAGCTGCCAGGGATTTAAGCTTGACTGCAAATCACTGCCATCAACCCAATGCATCCCCAACTGCCCAGTTGTAGATGAATGCCGCCATAAGTCCCGTATGTATAAGCCATACTTGTGTTGCTGAGGTTCCACCAGTGTGCCACCCGCCCACAAGTTCTTAGAATGATCTTAGAACCTATTTATGAACCCGCGCAGATCGACAACCAGATACATACAACAATGGGACTGGATCAGTCGATATATCAATAGACGAACATGCCTCAAAATTATGCCTTTCTGTCCATCTTCCTGCCCTCCTGCTTGTGGGTGACGGACAGAGGAAGGAACTTAAGGAGGGAAGGGGTTGAGGGGGTAAGGGGTTAAGGGGTGAAGGGTTAAGGGTAAGGGGTAATGGGGTAAAGGGATAAGGGAGAGTGTAAGGATGGAATTGAAACAAGGACATAGGGATGGAAGTAAGTATAAAGGGGAGTAAGGATGCAAGTGAAGTAGGGAGGAAAATGAAGTAAGGATGGTTTGAAGAAAGGGAGGAAGGATGGGAGTAGGGATGGAAGTGAATCAAGGATGAGACTGAAGCAATGAAGTAAGGATGGAAGTGAGGAAAGGCAGCAAAGAAGTAAGGAAGTAAGGATCAAAATCAGGATGGAAGTGAAGCGAAGCAAGAATGGCAGTAAGAATGGGAGTGAAGCAGGGAAGTAAGGATGGGAATGAGGCAGGGAAGTAAGGATGGGAGTGAAGCAGGGAAGTAAGGATGGAAGTAAAGAGGGCAGTGAGAACGGAAGTAAGGGAGGGGAGTGAAGCAATGAAGTGAGGATGGAAATAACGATGGAACTTGAGAATGGAAGGAAGCAAGGATGAGAGTAAAGAGGGAAGTAAGAATGGAAATGAGGTAGGCAAGAAGGATGGAAATAAGGATGGAAATGAGGTAAGGCAAGAAGGATGGAAATAAGGATGGAAGTGAAAGGATAGAAGTGGATTGAAGTGGAGTAAGGAGGGAAGTAAGGAAGGAAAGAAGATGGAAATAAGGATGGAATTGAAAGGATGAAAATAAGGATAGAAGTGACGTAAGGAAGAAAGGATGGCAGGAAAGAAGATTGGAAGGAAGGATGCAAAGGCAAAGATGAAAGGAGGGAAGTGGAATAAGGACAACAGGAAGGATGGAAAGAAAGTAACATGCATGTATTGATTGATTGATTCGATCAGGGTTGCATGGCAGCCTACAGTCGAGGCCGACCACCGACCGATCAGCAGATGACTGCCGACAGGTGGGCTGTAGCCCATCGGCTGAGTTTTCTGAGAAACTTTACGCAGGACTTTCCTGGGCGAGCTCCGGACACCCGTAAACAGCTGCAAAAACACGATGTTTCCAGCTGTTTGGGTTATCCTCTTTTTCTGTGTGTGTGGCGGGGGGCGGGGGGCGGGGGGGTTGTATGTTGGGGAACGGGTTGTGGCTTGTGGGGTTGATGGGGTGTTTTTGCAGGGACATTTGTAGACTTTCATGTCTGCAAAGTCTGCAAAGTCAAGTTCACGTTCAAGTTTCTGAACGGCATTGCAGAAAAACAAAACCGTTTTGCACACAGGTTACACAACAGTCCTTTTTTGAATCGCACACCACAGTCTTTTTGACACAGTTTTTTTTAATGAAACGGAACTTACGGAAGAGTAAATTAAACTAAAGAAGAAGACAAAGAAAAAGAAGAGAACCAAGATGCCTTTGCTCTCTCTCTCTCTCTCTCTCTCTCTCTCTCTCTCTCTCTCTCTCTCTCTCTCTCTCTCTCTCTCTCTCTCTCTCTCTCTCTCTCAACTCGGCTTCGCATGCGGAGAGGAAGGAGAGAAAAGCAGGGGACGGGAGGGCAGGGGGGGCGAGAGAGTTCAAACTGGTTTGCTGCTGTTTTTCTCCTTGCGAATATCAAGGTGGACCGTCGGTTTTTAAGAAAATAAAGTTGAAAAAACGTTGGGCAATACGAGTGGGATGACAACACTCAGACGATAGGGGAGTAAACCGAGCAGAGGTAAGACCGGCGCGAAACGGGAAGGGTAAGCATACAGCAGCAAATCACAGAGAGAGAGAGAGAGAGAGAGAGAGAGAGAGAGAGAGAGAGAGAGA